CACTCTCTCTCTCTCTCTCTCTCTCATGCGCGCACGCGCGTGTCTCGCTCTCTCACTCGCTCCCCTCACCCCCCCACTCCAACCCACCTTCTGATTCTTCCTTGAGCTAAAAGTCTCTCCTTTTTTGAGTTGAGGGTGAGAAGAGATATTGACAAACTCCTCCTGTCCACTTCACAACTTGTAGTCGGTTGAAGGCAGTGGCCAGTACTACGCAGGCAGAGAAGCAGTGGCGGTTGCAGTGGCTGTTGCAACAGTAACCGCAACAGCAACAGCAAAGGGAGAAGGAACAAGGGGAGCATCAGGAGCAACGGAGGAGGTGTAGGAATAGCATCTGAAGGAGCCACACGTGAGGAGGAGGGGTTGAAGCAGGATGGAGAACATGCAAATGAGGAGGCAAAAGAAGAGCTGTGTTGGAAACACACCAGAAGCAGCAGCAGGAGGAGGGGGAATAGCAGGTGGAAGAGGGGCAGCAGCTGGTGTATTAGTAACAACAGTAGCCGGAGGTGAGGAGAGGCACAGGTGCCGCTTGAGGAGGAGAGGTAATGAGCTGGGCTAGCTGATGCCCATTTAGCAATATTGTGAGCTGATGTAATGAATGATTAGCCTGGCAACCAGGTTCATGGTCCACTATCACAGGACACAACTGCTGCTTGCATTATATTTGGTGTTACAGTTCATATCTTCTTCTTCTTCTTTTTCTTCTTCTTCTTCTTCTTCTTCTTCTTCTTTGTTTTTTTAACATCTGCTGGCGGTACTTACTACTGTGGGTGATACGGCGGCACAACTTTGTTTTGGAAAATATGGTCTTAAAAGTTGTGAAGCAGGTCGCCGCGCAGATGGCTCCTCAGCCGCTCCTGTCTATTTGTGGGGAGCTGGTGTCAAAATTCATATCAGTCTCTGCCTGTTGCAGATGCTGGGTGGTAATTTGCTAACAGTTCGTTGACATCGTTGTATGGGTGGTAATGGCTCCCCCAGGTGAAGAGGAACGGAAACGATTGGATGACCAACTGTCTAAACGCAGGCTGGCACTGGATCCAGCCGGTTATTTCATCATATACTTGGATCGTGCAAGGGAAGAGATTGTTGCTGATCATTATCGCAACGTCATCAACGACAAGGGGATTGCATGTGATCCGAAAACAGGGAAACCAATTCCCTGTGATGGGTCGTACAAGCCAGCTCCTAACAGGTCTTTCAGGTAATGATTCCTCCACCATGTGCTTGCTTGCTTCTTTTTTTTCTTTTTCTTTTTCTTTTTCTTTATTTTTCCTTTTTTTTTTTGAAGGACGACAGCATACTTGCGGCACATAGGTGAAGTGGCTGCGCAGTGAGGTGCGCTGATCGCAGATGCACGAAAAAAAAAGAGGAAAAAAAAGCAACCGTGATATGTATACACGCTGGAGAGCGCGCGCGCGCGCGAGAGAGAGAGAGAGAGAGAGAGAGAGAGAGAGAGAGAGAGAGAGAGAGAGAGAGAGAGAGAGAGAGCAAAGAGCCCTTTCAAATTATTCAGACAACCCCTGCCGGTACTCCAAAAAAGTCCCTGCCAAAAATTGGCAAGGGTCCCGTCGGCAGGAGAAGGGCAGTCGCTCGACTTGGTAGTAAGGAGGGAGCAGGCCAGCTATATATGGTGTAGCTTCAAACTCAGGTCCGTGTTTCAGAATGCAATGACTTGCTAACTCAGCAGGTGTTTTTATGGCTTCAGTCCACTACTCACCAAATGTGCAAAACTAGAATGAATCTTCTCCTAGAAACTGGAACCGTACAAGGCATATGTTTTTCTTTTGTGATGAGTGGAGCAGGGCCTTAGGGCCACTGCACGTAAGAAAAGGAAAAACAAAAAGACGAGACAGCTGCTGTAGTGTTTGTAGTACTTTCGTAACCCATAACTCTTGGAACACAGACCTGAATCCGAATCCAGGATATATTGTTGGCCTGCTCGTGGTCTTTCAGCAGTTCAAATGAACATCCTTCCAAATGCATGAGAACCCTGCTGATTCTTTGCAGGGGAACTTTTGGAAAACAGAATGGATCCAACGAGTAGTACAAAGTGGGCCCAGAATATATTTTTTCTGTGCATTTACAATTTTTAAAAGGGAGGGACACATTTGGTTACCACGGCCTACGCTTTTTTATTTTGTTTTTAAATTAATTTGTAAATGCGCCGCATCACGTGTGCGCATGCGCGATGCGGTGCACGTGTGCAACTTGCGCGCACGTGATGAGCCGCATGTATGGACGGCGGGCGGCCTTGAGAGAGCATCATTGAACTGATCGGCCCCAGGTAATTCAGAATGATTTTATTTTGGTCATCTTATTGTAACTGGATTCGAACTTGAGACTGTATTTCTTTCTTGCTTTTTGTTTTTATATTTATTTCAACAGTTCAGTGATGTGCCAACTGATCTAGGCTCATTGGTATGTGCTCGCTGTTTTTGAGCGAGCTCTTTGAAAATTCGTTGGTCTAGGTTGTGGAGCGTAATCCTTTTTTCAAAAGAAAGAGAAAGAAAATGGGAAGTGGTCCTGGGACCTTGTCCCACTTCATCCGTTGAGCTAGGCCCACGTTTAGTTTTCTACGCCGTGCGACTGTAGGCGATGAAGGAGATGCACGCCCTCGCAATCATCCAGCGGTCCGCTCTTTTTTTAATGGTGAATAGATATTATCACGTTTTTTATTCCAACAAAATTGTTCCGAAAATGACGTTTTCTCAAATGCTACGCCCCCTCCCCTTGCCACTTTCCATTGAGCTAGCTGTCTCCTTTTTTGGAGACAGCCAGTTCAACGACCGTTGGCGTCCTTTCTGGAGATTTTTTTTTTGTTTGATGTTATTTTATTATGTTTTGAGAAATCTGTGAAGTTGCTTGTACTTTGCTATTTTCGTGCGACTTTTGAAGGACTGAATATGCATGAACTACGGCCAATTTGGTGCGACCTTTGAAAGGCCACATATGCGTCAACTATGGGAATAGGGCAACTCTTCATAGGATCGGAGCGACCACAAGTGGTTAACGGGGAGTAAGAAGTGCACTCTATAGATTGGTGTGAAGTTTGCTTGGGATGGCCTTATGGTTTTCTTATAAATTGAGGTGAAAAATGGGGGGTCGGTTAACCTTTTCTCCTCCTCGGACGTCATGTATGGCACTCCAATTGTGGAAAAGAAAAAAAAAGAATGAATTGGATCTTAGGTGGATTTTTTAATGCATTTCTGAATTTGAAATGAATTAAAAAAAACAGTTTCAGCCGTCACACCGTTGAGCTAGGTCCACTGAACGGTGCATGTGGGACAAGGTCCCTGGAATTGCGTGAACCATGGTTACAGGAAGCAATTTTTTTCTCTTTTTTTAAAGGAAATTAGCTGCTTTATTAATATTACTAGAGAACGACTCCAGTGTCCCTTACATCATATACACACATGATGCTTACCGTCGTTATGGCCAAGGGACCCTGAGACAGCAGGATTGAAAAACGGGAAGGATGTACTACCGCTCCACCCCCGCTTACCCTAGCCTAACCTTGCTCGCTGCTTTGAAAAGTCCAGCTATGCTATCCCTTCTAGATTCACAAGGAGGAGGAGAACCCATGCTTGTGCTTCCATTGCCTGGCTGGTCCTTCCCTGGAGATTGTTGTATATTGTAGGAATACTGCTCATCGGTGCTAGGACACCTCACATTAGATCGCCGGACCTGTACATCCTATTTTATCTTTTCTTCCTTTCCCTGTGCATTTTGCTGCCCCCCCCATTTGATCCTCCGTCCCCTGTTTGAAGTCCTACTGGAACCCTCGGATTCTCATCTCCTGTCAGCCCTTTTATTGTTCGTTAGTCGGAGTCTTGTAAGATGCGGCTAGCTATGTCTTTGCAGTATTGGATATTTGTGTTGCATCTTCACTGGGGGCCTTCGTTTCAGCTTCTGAAGGGGAAGGTTAGTGGTGTATCATTCTCTATCCACATGCTCGTCTAGTTCTGTTAACAGTTCCGCTGTTGGATTAAGCCCTGTCCTGCTCCAGTCCTTGAATATGAGGGTGGTACCTTTCATTTCTGCTACATTACCTCCCCCGGGCCAATCTGTTTCGAAGCCCCTTTGCATAAGCCTTGCCGTCTTCAGGGAATGTGCTTCTCTGTCAATCTTCAGGAGGTACTTTCACGAGATCGTCCTGATTTCTACCTCTATCATTTCCCTAGCTTCTGCCACTGACCTGGTAGGCTCATGTTGCTTGCTTCCCTTAAAGTCTTGCTGCACCAACTCTCCAGATGACCCAGGTACAGGTCCATGAAGAGGTTTCTGAGCTCTGAGTGCCCCTCCTCTGACATTTCTAGCCTGCTTATAGCCGTCAAGAGGAATAAAGGGTCCACAGGGAAGTACCGGCCTGTCAGGGCGTTCAAGCCTGATACTGCCAAGTAGGCTAACAGCCATTGGAGGCTCCTCAGAGTCCTCACTTTCTGCGGCCTGATTGTGCTGTATTGTCCCTTTCCATTGGTTGAATGTTGCCACTCCCTTTCGTCTTGTACATTTAGGATGACTGCTTGAAGAGTTTCACTTAGATTTGACAGCCTTTCGGTTGCTTCCTTAGCTTATCGTCCCTTTCCTTACCCATCCTTTGGTTTCGTCATCCCATATATGACCAATTCTCCAAACGCCTTCAGTGACCTACGTAACCCAACACTGCTGCATGTGTGTCAAAGTCCACATATGGTTGCCTTTGTCCCTCACCCAGGGGGTTGCCGAATAATGGCTGTCTCAGAACTTCTTTTTTCTTTTTCTTTTTCTTTTTCTTTTTCTTTTTCTTTTTTTTCTTTTTTTTTTTATAACAAAAACAGAACCTTATGGTTCTGGCTCTTTTCCATTCTGGGGAGCATCAGTCCGGTTCCTATTCCATTGGCAAGTCATAAGAGAATACAATGTATACTGACTCACGCTGCTCCACCTTAAAGTGTGGAGGCCGACATTGATTACTTCTCAAAGGAAGGATGTACCACCGTGCACCCCTGCCTGAGTTAGCCTATTCTACCTTGTACCTGACCTTGAATCCTAGCCTGTTTACCCCTTCGCTTTGATGCATGTAATAATCTCCTTGGGCTCCACTCGGCCTGTTCTTCTCAGCCCTTTGACTGTTGGATATTCTGTGCTGGAACTGTTGAAGTGGTCCCGTATCTTGAATCTCTTTTGTAAATCCTGCTAATCCCCTGCAATTACATTACTTCTACTTTAACCCCTTGAGACCCTAGGGCTTGCTTTTACTGCTGTTTGTTGTCCCCCCTTCCTAAACCCTAAACCCTAGTAAGGCTTTTGCTGCAGCTTTGGTGGAGCTTGTTGGTAGGTGTTGCTGAGGTTTTAGTGGCTGTGGGGTTTGGGATGTGTAAGCTATTGGTATTTAGAAATTACTTAGGGGGGTGGTTTCAAATGGGAGGGGAGGGTGGTTGGTTGGCTAGAGTGGAGGGGTTGGAAGGTGTATCGTGAGTGTGCGGTGGGTATTGGGCGATTTGCATTGACCGGGAGATGAATGATTGTATGGGGTTTGTCTGTGCTGGAGAGGGGAAAATTAATGGGTAAGGGGAGGAGTTGGAGTGGTTGAGGGGGGAAGGACTAGTCAGTTCTTGAGGACTAGCCGATCGTTCTTAACTGTCCCTATAAGGCCTGAGCCTAGCTTTGAGACACTGAATCTTTGGATTAGTTTTTTTTTTTTTGGTCGGGGGCTCTGTCAATTTGATATCAGGTTTTCTTCCATTGTATATACAGTTCTGTTTCTATCGTGTAATTTATGTGACTAATGGTTTCTCAGGGGAGACGGGGTGATCTTCAAAAGTTTTGACTCATCTTTCCTTCCATAAAGACCAGATGGTTCTTTTCCTCATGAGGGAAGAGAATGATTCGAAACCTTTGAGCGGGGGGTTTTGGTCTAAGTTGAGGAATAGTGTGCCTGGACTTATCAAAATTGCCTTGTCTGAGAGGGTGTTCGATGTGCGTTCTATTTCCTGCCATAAGCTTCTGGCCTTGGGCAGTCGATGAAACAATGATTAAGTGTTTTGGGAGTCTGTTGGTTGCAGGCCTTACATCAAGAGTCTTGATCTGATCTGTTGTCCTTGCTGCGTCTTTGAGGCAGCCAATAATTCACTGGGACTGCCCTGAAGGCTATAAGCCATCGTAAGTTGGCTAGGTTAACAGGTCTGGTGCAGAAGATTGATGACCAGGGTGGGGTTATCT